TCAAATTTACCAATGAACCTAAGCCTTATCATTTTTTTGTACTTGAACTTTTTAGTTGCTCAACTAGAAGGAGGCTTTGTTTGTCTTTTCAGTTCTTGTATATGATTAGAAAAAATATTTTTTTTCTTTGTAATAAGTTGATTTTATTTATTTCTTCCCCTTCTCCATTTTCATCGGTAAAGATTACTTTAATCTGGAAGTGGGAAGGGATATGGATAAAGGTTGGTATAATGTCTTGCTAACATTTGACCTTTTAATGATAAAGGCCAAAAGTTGGTTTTCTGTTGCTGCCTTAAAGTTTGCTTTGGATAGCATAACTTTCTTTCTTGGGTGTGTGTGTTTATGTAAAATATACATCCCCAAATGATTGGGAGCTGCCCAGAGTTTGATATAAGATGGACGGCTATATAAATGTTTTAAATAAATAAAATAGTAACTGAAAAGGAATGTGAGTACTCTAAAGTTTCTGCATGATACCTTAACAATGTTTCCATCCGCTTACATTCTAATGAGCATATTTTTTTATCGCTCACATTTCTCTGTTAGCTAAATCTAATATTAATAACACACATTGGAAGAAAACAGTGATGGGTGATTCCATTTCTTTTCATGTTTTTGTCTCATTTTCTGCAGTTTATCATTTTTTGACAATTCCTGTTCAGTGTGATCTCTTGTTCTATGTTATACCAATGATATTTTTAACCTTTGGAATAGACAGTTTCTTTGCATGTACTTCTGCCTTTTTCATAAATAATATATAAATAAGGGTTTCTGCTTTTTTTTGAGTGAATATTAGAATAATATGGGCCTTTTATAAGATAGCCAGATAAAACTTTATCATGAAACGCCAGTTTCACAGAAATATAAGTTTACGAGGCTAAAAGTAACTAACCCACAATCTAAATATTGACTCTTTGTTTAAGATCAGTTTCAAACTCTCAGCTTTCTTTCTCTGGATCATCCACTCAAAATGCATACCGTATTTATTTATTTATTTATTTATCAAATTTAGAAACGGCCATCTCCCTCACACAGGAACTATGCAATCTATCTTGGGCACCGACTCACACTCACATATACAAGGGCTTCTGCAGGGGATATCAGAAAGTCAAGATGGCAGTTGTGACCATGCAAAGAGAACCCCCATCTTTTTTTATATATGCATGCATGTCAAAAAGGGCAGGGTTTCAGTTTTGTGATTATAACCACCATCTTGACTTTTTTGACCAACCCTGCACAAATGTACATGCACGTAGTCAGATGCTTTCTTGCTTTCTCCCACTTCCCTCATGTCTGTAGCCTTTCCTACTTCCTCCTCAGAACATTCCTCTTCTAGTTCTCCTGCCGCAACTCCCCCCCTCTTCTTACAAAGCAATGAATTCCACCTTTTTCCTCTTCATTTTAGACATGGTTGATGTTTGAACCAGAGGCATTTTAGGGAATAAAAATTGCAAGTGGCTGAAAACCAGCTCTTTACTTTAAATTGCTCCCTTTGTAACTAGATTTTTTTTTTAAAAAAAGCTTAAGAATTAGCAGGGTATTTCACAGGGGGAGATAAAGGGTGAAGTAATGCCTACAGATAGCAGTTTATGAGTAGATGAGTAATGCAGTTAGCAGTTTATGAGTAATGCCTATCCCTCAGTTTACGAGTAGATGAGTAGATATGAGAGCTATCTTTCTTAAGAGTCATAATAGTAATGGATGGTATTGTAGCAAAGTTAACATATATGTATATTGAATTTTTAAAACATATTTAACTAAAAGGAAAACAATCCTGAATTTAAAACATTGGAATATTGGACAGAAGAATATTTATGTGCTTCTGTTCCTTTGCTGAATTCTCAACAAATATAATTCTCCCATTTTAGAAATAAACTATTTGTGGAAATAAAATATGCTTCCTTTCAGGTAAATAAAGTATTTGAAAACTTTGCAGTAGATTTGTTCACTAGGTATAGTATCTTATTAGATTCCATTTCTCAATATTTTATTATCCTTTCCAGCAATTTCTTTTAGATTTGGTTTTTAATGTACCTTCCTTTATTTTCTTAAAGAAAAATAATTTCATTTTTGGAACAGAAAAAAAATATATATTTAATTTTGAATGGAGCACAGAGTTATCTTCTAGATTTGTAATAACTTTAAAATCAGCTTAAGGGCAAGTCTATACTGTAAATGTGAGATAGTTGTATGGTTTTTTAACTTTCAAGAAGGCCCCCAAGGGGCCTTAGAAATTTTGTGATAAGAGTTGGGGGATTAGGAAATATATAGCTCCAGCAATGAAATACAGTACACTGTTTAGGGAGTTTTATGTGAAAGTGATGATATTCAACTATTTTATTTTAATTATTGATAATCTGAGACTTGGTTCAGGAGCAGCACCAGTGCAAATGCTAAATAAGAGATAGGGGATACAGTGTCATGGCCTTCTTGCCCTCCCAAGACTACTGATACTTTTGTTTAGTTGGTTTTACCTCCCACTTCTTGATTATTCTTACAGCACTGAGGGAAGCTACTAATTTAATATAGAAATGGTGGTGATTTTACTAGTATACTACTAATTGTTTATTTTGTGTCCCAGTATTTGGGCTAAATACTATAATGGAGATTATTACTGAAGCTGGGCCAGTAAGCAATGAAGGTGGGTCCTTTGCATCATGAGTTGTGCATGACATACCGATTCCCAGTCAGCATTTTGTGCCTGTCTTTGGGCAACTTTACCACTGATAACCAAGATTGTATGATCTCTACTAATCACATTCCCATATCACATTACGCTTTTCCATATGTTGTTGAATCCGAAGATGGTTCTTGTGGCAGAAATGCATGCAGAGCAGCTGAGCTTCTCCTGCTTTTCACCTTCTGCTTTTACTACCATCTTCTCTTTTGTCTCATTCCCATTACTGTTTTCTGCCGATGTATGATGCAGTAATACAAAATATGCTGCTGCTTTTTCAAGTTTTTTTTTGTACGTCCTTTTAAATAGAATGTTAGTTAATTCCTGTATGTCTCATTAATAGCATTTATGGACTTAAAACGTCTTTCTCAGTAAATGTTTTCTCGTTCTGCCTCTTTACTTATGCAGGAAACAGGCGAGCACTGGTCGATCAGAAGTCTTCTGTTATAAAGCACAGCCCAACAGTGAAAAGGGAATCTCCTTCACCACAAGGACGAACCAGTAATTCCAGGTAAAATATTTAAGGCACAGCTTGGCAAGTAGCTTCTTTTACATTGCCTGATTTCTGAAGCTTCTGCAACTACTATTGTACCTGCCTTCTCTGTTGAAGTCTGTTGCCTGGAAGAGAGAGAAAATAATAAAGGAATGGGATCGTCTGCTTTTAACTTTCTGTCAACAACACTTGATTCATAATTATTTATTTATTTGTTATTCTTATAGACTGAGAAGTTTACGTTGTCTCGTAGAAGCCACACAAGATAGCCACACAGACAGACAAATGTATGTCCCTAGCCAGCATTTCGAATCTTCTTAGTGGTCTACCCATCATATTGTAATCAAGTCTATCCATCTTGCTGCTGGTCATCTTCTTTTTCTCTTTCTTTCTATCTTTCTTAGCACTGTAGACTTAAAAGAGCTAGGTCTTCTCATAATATGTCCATATATGATAACCTTCAGCCTGGTCATTTGCACCTTGATAAAAACTCTGGGTTGATTTATTTTGTGATCTTTTGTTTTCTTGTCTATCCATGATTTTCTCAAGTTCTCAAAATGAGCTTTCTCATTTTGAACTCAAAGTTCAAAATACTGCTTCTTCAAAATACAACTTACACTGGCCTTGAATATTATTGGAAGAACTATTATCTGCATGATTCTGACTTTTGTAGGAATAGATACATCATGATATCTAAGTATTCTTTGCTATCCTACAGAGTGCTAATCTGCAATATATTTCTTAGTTGCTGGTTTCTTTACTGAAATAAAGCACACATTGCCTTTTGGAGGGATATTCTTTTGTTTTCTCAGTTATCCAGTGTACACCTGAACCAATGTCTCTACTTCCTCATTCTTTTCATAAAACCAGCTTGAATATCAAGCATATTCTGTTCTGTGAAGGGCTCTTAATTTGTAGTCATGTGCATTATTTTTCTAGCATGTGAAATATTGTACAATAGTCTGCGTAATCCGTTAACTCTCTTTGATATTGGTATGCAGACTGATCTCTTCTAATCTATTGGCCAATATATTGTTCTCCAGATTAACTAGCATAGTTTGATTATAAGCTTGACAGTTTCTTTTTCTGTTACTTGTCATACTCAAACAATTTTCTGTAAGCCTTTGGCCTGGTAATGACTGGAATGCTGATCTGATTTCATCTTCTAGCATTAGAGGTTTTTATAAGTAGGGAGTATAATATTGTGCAAACAGGTTGGCTTTGTTCTTCCACTTTAGCTTGACTTGGAATGTCAGCACGAACAGTTTGTGATTGTTTCACAGTTATTGACCACATCTTTACTGTCATTACAGCTCTTCCATTTCCTTGTAGCAATGCCATGATTGTTTTGCATTTTGTGTACTTTACCTGGTAATGTCCACATGCACAGGTATTGTTGTGGTTGTTAGAAGACTGTTAGCAGTGAAAAAATCACTACATTGGCAGAAGCCTGTAAGTCATTCTCCTCCTTTATTTCTGTTTCTTAGACCATGTAATTGAACTACACTTCTCTACTTAATATTTCCAATTTTAACATTCTAATGTCCAAACACAAGCAGTATATCTTGCAAATTTTGCCATTTTCAGATTAAACTTGACTGTAATCCTTGCCATCCTCCTGTTCTTCTGCATCAGTGGTTCAAGCACAAATTTGTATAACGAATTAAAGGGCTGTCCATGAAGTCTAATTGATATTATTCTATCATTAACTACATTGACATGAGTTTTATCTTTGCATATCCTTCTTGACTATAAAAGCAACGCTGTTGCTTTTTTGTTTTTCCCGTCTTGACTAGTGAAGCAGTGTGATCTTTTGATTGAAAATGCCCAGTATCCGATTTATTTCAGTTGGCTGAAAATTTCATTATTCAGCTTAATCTCATCTTTCATTGTGTTGAGCTTTCACATATTTATCCTTTTTATGTTCCATATTACACTTTAATTCTTTCTTTGCAGTTTTATATTTTCTTTTCCTGCATGGCAGCATCAGCAACTAGACTTCCTCAAGGCTTTAATCTAGTCATGTTTAAAAAAAACCATTAGTATTGTGAAAGATCTTCAACTGTTCTTCAGTAGAGCGTTGAGTGCTATCCAACCTGAGGAGCCTGATTATATGACAATATCTAGTCAGTCATTTTATATTGTCTATCCATGTGACTTTCTTGGTAAAATATAGGGATAGTTTAATATTGCCTTCTGCACAATATGAAATCATAGCTTTGCTGTTTTCACTAATGTGATCATCCATATGCAACATATTTCTGTATTGCTGCTGTCCGATATAAGCATCTGCTTTCTACAGCTGGATTGAGTTTTATTTCTTAGGTGATTCTCCTGGGGGTATATCTTCTTGGCACACATTGCCTCTATTCATAGCTTATCTCTCCCGGGAACACTCTGTGATGATGTAGTATAGTAGGACATGAGGGAGTGAGAATGGCAGCAATATTCCTTGTAGCTTACAATTTTACAGTTCAAATATTAAAAACACAACATCATAAAATACACCCTGCAAGACTGGGAGCAGTCTTAAAAATAAAAGTAATACAAAAAAATATCAGTCTTAGATACCTTAACAGAATAACAGAGTTGGAAGAAACCTTGGAGGTCTTGTAGTCCAACACCCTGCTCAGGCAGAAAATCCTATGCCTTCCTAAGCATCATAACGTGAAATAAGAATTTCTGGATATAGGCTGTTCCAGAAAGATGGAACCTTAATTGTCAACCCTTCAATATTGTACAGATAAGGGAACAGATTCTACAAAAAACTAGAACTAAACTTCATTGACATATTAGCAGAATCTTGAAAGTCTGATTGTTTTTCTTATCTTCCTCTTATATCTTAGTGAGTTAGAAATGAATCAGCCTGAGTCTCTTCTTAATAACTAGCTCCTTTCCAGGGCTTGAGGATTTCTATCCTTTTTGTTAACGGCTTCCGAATATTTCCCTCAAAGCCTAATGTTATATTATTGGCTCTCATTAGTAAACATACTGCTGCATTTTGTATTAGGCATAGGCTTCTTCCAACAAATTACCATTTTCTCTGAATATGACTATGTTATAGTCCAGGACTCAGACATAAGAGTCTTTGTACCGCCAAAGTTGCTTCCTACTTATTTAAGGCAACATTTTCTTTTTTCAAAAAACAATATATGTTTATTTTCTTTTAAAAAATGCTGCTTAAAGTTGCTACATAAAGCAAAATAATATATAATATGCTTTCAGTTCTTAAGTCTTGCAATCCAAGCATAGTGCGGAATGCTATTTTACATAAAAAATAAAAAAAGATCTTTCTTTTAATAATTATAGTGATAGAAAAGCTGTAGAAGTTTTGCGTTGATTCTTTTTTTTTTACTATATGCCTCCTTATAGTGAAAATCAGCAGTTCTTGAAAGAGGTGGTGCACAATGTCCTAGATGGACAAGGAATTGGTTGGTTAAACATGAAGAAAGTACGTCGTCTCTTGGAAAGTGAGCAACTCCGTATGTTTGTATTAAGTAAGCTTAATCGCACTATCCAGTCAGAGGAGGATGCTCGACAGGATCTTGTCCAGGATGTGGTTAGTTTTATTTTTACTTTTTTCCCTCATCCATCCATGAATGAATTTTGCTGTGAGTTTCTGTACTGAAACTTATTTAAGATCGTTCACAAGGAAACTGCTGCTACAAGCCTTACAATATAAAGAATAAAATAATACAAAGTAATGTATCAAATGTTGTAGATCAAGAAGGAAATTGCTTGCTGAAAAAGCATTAGTACCTTCTAATGAAATGTAGGTAGTACTTGGTCAAATGTTTTTTTCCTCAGAGCTGAACTTCAATATGGTCAGTTTAACTGAGAAATACTACTTCCAACTGACAGTAGAAAATGGAGGCAGAGCTCTCTGAATGAGTTTATTTCCCAGATAAATTCATATGGGCAGAAGAGCGCCCAGTGATATCACAAAGGGTTTAAGAAGCCAGTATTAGAAGTAGGGATTAAAAAATATTAATCAATTATTTAGTTTGACGCACCTTAATTTGCATTCAGAAATTATTTATTACTATAGTTTCTCTATTGCCAACTTTTGTAGATTCCCAGTCACTAACGCACGGGTGTCAAATTCGATCACATCATATGACGTATCATGACGTATTGCGACATTTTTTGCCTTTGCGGAGCCAGGGTGGGCATGGCCTGCACATGACGCATCCGGCCCATGGGCTGCCAGTTTGACACCCCTGCACTAACAGAATATTATAATATAATATTATGACATATAAAAGCATCCCTAGTACCATAAATACCTCCTTCTCATAACAGATCTTTTTCATCAGTCATTAAAGTCCAAGTGGAAGATACAGTTAAAGGAAATATCCCATGGTTTGCTCCAGGTTTATAGTAGCAGATATATTTCAGTAGGTTTACGGACAGTCCCACATAAAGCATATGACAATGACTAGGATATGGATGATTGAGAAGAGTCAGAATTGTTAAGCTAAATGTAAACATAACATAAAAGATCTGGTAAATTTCCAGAGGCCTGCTGGATCCTTGAGTACTCAGACTAAGAATCTGTTGCTTTAGTGAAAGTATAATTCAATCAAAAGTGAATATGCATCTCTAGGATTCTCAGATTCATCAGTCAGTAATGTCTCTACCTTAATTATGTCTCAATGTATTCTCTTATGTCTAATCCAAAACTGTCCAAGCACTGGCTTAAAGGTTCACCCTTGGGATCTGAAAATGGAAAGAAGTAGAATTAGATGCCATTTGACATCCCGAAACTCTACAAGTGGTTCCTTATAGATGTTAAACAATATGAAAAACAAAAAGTCAAAAATATTTATTTGTGATATTTATATCCCCTGAGCTGAAGGTGACAGAAATACTTTTGACAGTTTTTCCCCCATCAGCCATCTGTGAAAATAGGTTTGGCTAATGAGATTGGCCCAAAGTCACCCAGTGAGCTGCCATGCCCGAGGGTGCACATACATACAGTACATATGTATGGATGTGAGAGAATATGTATAAACATCAGCACCATTTTCAGGGATCCATTTTTAAGAGAAATGAATGGAAATATCAGAGGTGTGGGGTTCAGTGGCTTAATGATGATGGAGATGGTTCGAGTCCTAGTACTGCGTGTCGAGATGAGCTCCCGTCACTCACCTCAGCTTTTGTCCATCTAACAATTCAAAAGCATGTTCTATGCAAGTAGATAAAATACGTACCACTTTGATGGGGAGATGAGCTGGTACTCCATGCAGGTAATCAGATTCCTGTCCTCTGATCCTTCCTGGTTGCAGCACCCATTTGTGAGGTGGCTCTGGGGAGGGAGGGGCCTTGGAAAAGGCTGCAGTAAGAGCCACTTGTCTTTCTTTCTGGTGTGAAGCCAGCTTGCCCTCTTGTGGCACACCATGGGAAGCACAAAACCGTTTCCTACAACAGGGCTGGTACCTTGGCAGCCAGACTATTACTCTGCAATTCATTGTAGTTTCCTGGCTAATGTAACAATGCCAAATGCTAATAATAATGATGATGAAGATGAAGATGATGATGGAAACATCATAAAACAATGCCTAGTCTAAGAGCTTATTGTGTCCTGCAGAGATGCTGTTAAGTAATTTAGAAAATACTGAGTTAAATGGACTTATAATATATGATACTTTTCTTTGTTTTAAATTTCAGACAGCATAACTAAATTATAGAAAATGAATTAAAATGCAAGGAAATTCTGGTTTTTTTTAAAATAATATCTTAGAAAGGCTGTGGAATTGGCTTCTGATTAACAAAGCATTCTTACAGATGAGCCTTTTTGTTTTAGGAGATTAACCGAAAGGTTTACAAAGGAATGCTGGATTTACTAAAATGTACAGTATCAAGCCTTGAGCAGTCATATGCAAATGCTGGACTTGGAGGCATGGCAAGTGTGTATGGCTTGCTAGAAATAGTTCATACTCATTACTATAACAAAGGTAAGACAATACTAAAAATTAGTGTATCATAAATACTGTGAAACGCCTTTTGTGGCAGAACTAAATCTAGCCTGCCAGTCAATTATTTTATGGACTTTATAAGTAGAGGCTATAAAGCAATTGTGCCTAATTATTAAATGTATCAGTTATAAAATATTTATTTGCTTTGTTGGTTTAAAAAATATTTGTGTGAATGACTTGAGAGAAACAGGCAGGCAAAAACAAACAGATATTATCCTTCCCTCAAGAAGTGAAGTGGGGCCTCTGCAAAAAATATTATTAGATCCCTAAGTTGGTGTTTCTCCTCTTTCATACTTCTGGTTTTCACTCAAGAGGTGCGATATTAAAGGTGAAGTGCAGCTGTAGTTAATCTGAGTTAATGCTTCTCAAACCTAGGTAAATTACCCCAAGTTGAGTAAAAATGGTTTTTCTTTTGGTAATGATACCAACCTATTACCCAATCACAACAGGGACATTTAAATCAGGTCTTTATGATAAGGGGTTTTGCGAAACGAAGGAACTTAGCATTTTGGGAAGCACTAAGTTATATGGAACTGCCTGATTGACATTTTGATTTATTTTGTTGGGAATGCCCGGTCCACTAAGTCATTTTATTAGCAAATCAGCATTAAGATGATCACTATCACTAAAATAAGTTTTAAAAAAGTATGTTTCAGTTATATTACTTATGAAGCAGAGTGGGGAAGGATTAAACTGTTATGAATAAGAGACAGGCAGCGAATGCAGTATACTTCCTTCCATCATCAACCTGGCTCATTGCATGAATTGATCAAGGGGAAAATGATCACAAAGCAGGTGGAGTTTGTTGTTTCTTCTCTGTAGTCTGGCTACTTTCAGGGAGATGGGAGGTGATAGGAAAACCAGAGGTTTTCTGAGTCAATTGAATTGAATTTATTATATTGAATCAATTCCAATGTGAAATATAGGAATAAAACATATTTAACTTTCTAGTTAAGTCTTTATTCATTGCCTTTAACCAGTCCTTGTCTGGTTAAAGACAATGAATAACCATTTGCTTATTTATTTATTTATGCGTATACATTGGTGGCATCATCAAGAGCAGGTCTGCAGTTACAGAGATTAGAGATTTATTCAAGATAATGTGTTCCCAAAAGACTGTGGGTTAGAGTTGTGCATGCATTTGGAAGGGTGCTTTGCCAACCATATTGTCTGATTGAAGAATAAAAGCATTAGAGCAATCTTATCCTGCAAAAGACTTAGTTTGGCTACTTAAAAAGCTTTTCCAGGTGGAACTGCCAGCAGAGCAAGAGATAATCTTCAAAACAGCCATGTAACCCTAGAGCAGGGCTTTTCAATCGGTAGTACGCATACCACCAGTGGTACATTGGCACCTGGCAGGTGGTACGCAACCCTGCCCAGCCTAGCCAAGTGTAGCGGGGGGGAGGGAACGAGCTAAAGCGGTGCAGCACAGGACTTGCTATGAGAGAGTCCTTAGGATCGGCACTTCTGGCGCACCCGGAAGAGAAAGGAGGAGGGGGGCAGAGACAGGAGAGGCTATAAAAGGAGGCAGTTTTGGCGGGAGAGGGAGAGAAAAAAAGACGCAGCCTTGGGAAGAGGAGGAGTCAGCTGGAGCTGAACCGAAGAGAAAAGGATGAGGAGGGGGGAGAGAGGAAAGGAGATAAAACAGGCCGGCCGGGAGCCGATCTACAACTTTGTGGCAGCCATCTCTGCTGGGCGTGCACAGAGGTGGCAGCAAAAAACAGGGAAGAAATGCAGCGGGGGAGGGGTCACCCTCTATGAGGAATGAAGAAAGGCACCATTGGCTGGAGGTGAGCCACGGAAGGAGGAAGGAAGGAACAAAGAAGATGGGAATGAGAAAAAGGGAGGCAGGGAATGAGGGAGGGAGGGAAAAAGGAAAGAAGGAAGGAGATGGGAATGAGAACAGGGAGGCAAGGAAGGAGGGAGGGGAGGGATGGAGGGAGGGAGGAAGGAAGGAAGGAGATTGGAATGGGAAGGAGGGAGGGTCTGAGGGAAGTCCTGCCTTAGCTCTTGGCCACCAGCAGCTCTGCTGCCCTTTTGCCATCCCCTTGCCCCCTCCTCCTGGCCTTTCCTGGTAGTTTCCCATCCTATCACTGAGGATGCTTTGGTTACAAAACTGGGTCTCCTCTCATGGAGAGGAGTGGGTCTCCTTCTGACCTATGCACTTTGCCCTCCTGCACCCACCATGAGCAACATGGCCAAGGAGAGTGAGTGCAGTAGCAGCAGCCTCGAGGAGGAGGTAAGTGCAGCTGGGTGCCCCCTCGGGCAAGTGGGGCTGGAGTGGGTTGCGCTGCGGGATCCTGGTGCCCTGGGAGCTTGAGGGCCAGGCTGGACACTTGCCCTCTACTGCCCAGGGCTCCGGGCAGCCTGCGCCACTGTCCGGGAGTCCACCGCATGGCCCAAGAGTGACGGCGAGGCTCCTCCGGTAGACCATTCCCTGGCGCCCACCTCAGTCCCATCCCCCTCCATCGTAGACCCCAGGACCCCCCTACAGCCCTGCCTGTCCACCCACAGGCACCCCCGACCTGAGCAACATTGAGCTGGTCACGTCCCCCAGCCATTAATTTTGCTTGTCAAAAGGTTGCAAAAGGGGATCACGTGACCCTGGGACACTGTGACCATCATAAATATGAATCAGTTGCCAAGCATCCAAATATAAATCACATGACCCTGGGGATGCTGCAGCGGTCATAACTATGAAAAATGGTCATAAGTCACTAAGTGAACTGTTGTAAGTCAAGGACTACCTGTACTTTATCACTTTTTTCCTTTTTTGGGGGGGATCATCAAGGTTTTGACACCTTGCTAGGCGAGTGGTGGCACTCGAATATTGTCATATCCTAAAAGTGGTACAATCGGTGAAAAGGTTGAAAAGCCCTGCCCTAGAGGACTCCCAGATCCTTGGATGCAAAAATGCAGTTTTCAGATGGTTTTTTCAGGCCTGCTCCATACTTATTTGAAAAGCTGGAAATGGATAAAAATGACTGAATTAAACAAACCTATATTTACATTTCCTGTTTACCTTTTGCGTTAACAGACATCCCATATTTAAACATCACTTATTTCTGCAAGCAGTTGACACTGGCATATAGAAATCTCTTTTATTATATGAAACAAGACTTCCATCAGTAGGGGTCTGATTGGTAAGGAAGAATGCTATAACAGGGCATTGCTTTAAATAGACTTCCATAACAATGGATGTATAGTATTATTGTATTCTTCTGCATACAAGCCAGCCATGATTTTAAGATATCTAATCTAATTGTAACACAACATGTAAGTTCCAATATACTAGAATCTATGTGCTACTAAAAGTATCATTGTCATGACCAACTGGGCAAAACAATGCATCATAAGGCAACAATTTTCAACCCTAGTTGCCTCAAATGGGCTTACTTTCAGAATGTGTCCAAATTCCAGGGTCCATGATAGCTGAGTGAAATTTGAGAAAGTTGTAGGTGCTTCAGTGCTGTAGACTGCTGCTGCTGCGATCATGTGATCTTCATGTTCAACAATCTGTGACAGTTTCCCAGACAGTCTCACAATCCGTCTCTCCCTCATTAGGCTACTTACCAGCCTGCTGGAAAGGGAAGGGAAGGAAGGTAGGGAGGAAGAAACTCCTGCACATCCTTTCTGGCCCATGCCAGCCTCCTGTGCGCTCCTATGACTTGGGCCACCTCTCCTTCCCTGACCAGCACCGACCTCCCAGGTGCTTTTCAAACCTCTTGTGTACCTCCACACACCCTCCTTGACTTGCTTAACGGTATTGGCAAATAACATTTCTTGACCTGATACTGAAGATACATTAAGTTTGGCAAGAGTTTTTCACCGTAGGGCCAACATAAGGTTACTTGTTATAGGGGAAATTTTCTCTAACTGGAAAAAAACACTAAAATAGTTCTCAAGTCACAATTTCGTAGTCAGCTAAATTTATGTTAGAAGGGGCCATCCTTAAAATAACCACGTTTCAATATATTAGTATTTTGTGAACTTCTCTCTAACTGATGATAAGGTCTAGATGTGAAGGTATTTTTAATGATTGTAAAGAATTAACACCATCTATCAAGCCCTTCTCTCCTTTCTTCTCATTCTCTCTTCTGATTGTTGTTGGCATATTTACTTGTTTTTGGTTTTCTTTGGCTGCTTATCTCTCTCTATTCCTTTCTTTTAAAGAGCCTGAAAAAAGAAAGCGAAGCCCAATAGATGGAGCAATCACTCCGGTTGGCAAAGATCCTATTTTAGCCAGGAGGGTGGAACCGAAACCCAAGGTGCAACTACAAGTACCTCAGCTCATGCCAAGGGCACCAGGCCTTTCAGGGAAAGGGCCAAGGGAGTTTGACACAAGGAGTTTAAAGGAGGAAAATTTTGTAGCTTCTATTGGTGTGTATTTTAATATACGTGGAATGCAGGAAAGTGATTGTGCATTGGCATTAGAATCTACTTGCATCTTTCTCATTAAAACATTATTCCCTTCATTGCTCTAGTAATGCGCTTCACTCTCACGCAGTTTGCAAAGACTGGTCATATATTTTCTTCTCCCATTTTGAACAAGAATCAACTCAACATTGTGGATGAGTTAATTTCTTTTTTTAAAATGGAGACTATTATATGATACTGACATCACAGACTTTAATTACATCCAGTTGAGTTACTATAAACAAATTGGCTGGCTGTCCTTCAAAGGGATGTTTCCTGGAAGTACATACACAAAGGATTGACTGACTTTTAGATAAATACAAATTATTTTACTTATTTGTAAGTAAATCCCACTGAGTTCTTGGGAGTTCTTGAAAGTCAGTGCTATGCATGTATGTTATAAATAGGTCACAGTTATGTGTATTTGGACTCATGGGTATTCCTTTATTATTGTCTTTTTCCCCCAGCAAAATTACATTTAATGCTTTATCCTTTTTTATATTCCTGAGAAACAAACGATCGTTCCAAAATACATATAGTGACATATAGAACTCTGTGAAATATAATTGCATTAGGTTTGGAATTATTGCACTATCCAGGCAGAAAAACACCTAGCCAGTTTTCTGAATGATTGTCTCTTCATTCATTCTGTTAGCTGAATTGTTAGGTTAATGTTTAATTTTTTTTGCCATTCAGGATTTTAAAAAAATCAGGTTTTGAAGGGTTGTAGCAGAAATAACCATCTATGTATAAAGGAAACAGATTATTCAATCTCTGGTCACTATAGAAAGATTATATATTTTTTGCAAATTAGTTTATGTAACTTTTTCATTAACTATTTGTCTGTTCTAATTTGAGGTGAATGATTATGAGTCCTATACCAATATGCACATAAAACAATAAAAATAACAGTAAGGAAATATGAACAGCTCTTCTATGTTTGGCCAATACATGACAAATTAGTGAAGGGGGAGTTCATTTTCAATGTAATTTATTAAATACATAATTTAATAAAAATAGCCATTACAGTAATTATTACATTTTGGTAAAAGCTATACAAATACCAATTGCCACATTTAGACTGATGTTAGTTGTTCTTCTACCAAGTAAACTAGGGAGGAATGGGTTTGGTTTTCCAGAAGTTGCAGGTTGTTCTATCATTGTTTCATCACAGAAATCCCATTCTCTTAACCTTCAGTAACTTCTAAATCAATTTCTTCTATTTGTTTTCCCATATTCTCTTTTTATTGCAAAATAGTAAAAAAAATAATTCAACCCACTAGTTCGAATCTTTTTATTTTTATTTTTTGGTAAGATATAAGAGATTCAACCCACTAGTTCAAATCTTTTTATTTTTATTTTTTGGTAAGATATAAGAGATTGGTAAGAGATAGGTCCCTTTATAGGTTTCCTAGCTTCTACTTCCTCCCATAAATTATGCTTTCAAGTTAAATGTTGAACTTAGTTTTCTAGCAAGCTGATTTGATATTATGCCACTAAGCCAGTACCTGACATTTTTTTCAGTGCAGAAATGCAAACCTAAAATTGTTTTCTTTGTTTGCCATGTGGATTGAATTTTTACCTAATTCTGAGATGCTTGTATTCTAAACAAATATTGCTCTTTCTATATAGATCTCTCTCAGAATAGCCTTTTTAACGCTGCTGAGAGAATACTGTGAATTGGTTAAATTTGGGGGGAGGGGATGGGGCAGTATTTGAACAGACTAAATATGTGTGAAAAAAGTGTATTGACTGGAAGTATTATTTTGGAGACAGAAATAATTTGAATACTGAGCATAAAGAGCTAGCCAAAATCTTTTTGTAATATGTAATTTCTGTGAAGTCAGATGACATCAGGTGGGTGAGTCTCAAGAGTTATTTTATTTTTCTGAGCCAGCAAATTGCATGTGATTCTTTTTTTAAAAAAATATTTCTTTATTAAGATAATGGAGGTCTCTGCTCCTGATCTAGCGGAAAAAGAATTATTTCTTCACATGCCAATTTTCATTAATCTCTGTTTTGGCAGTGCAGGATTGGGTGGCTTACTTTTGTTTTTGTTTTTCCCATTTCCACCTCTGATCAGCATCTGATACGTCTTCTGTCTTTCTCTCCTGCTTGCATTGCATCTTGAGTAGAATTGTGGAACAAGCACCAGGAAGTGACAAAACAAAAAGCTTTGGAAAAACTGAGTAAGGAAAATGATAAGAGGACAGAAACATAATACTCCCCATAGCCTCCCCATAACTGCCAACTCCTTAAGCTTTTGATTGAGCACCCATGCCACATCAGCCATAGGACAGACCAAGGAGGTCATTTCATAAAGAAACACAGTGTTGAGTTACCTCAAAGAGCCCTTTCCTATATGAGGAGAGAGAGAAATGCTTTAGTTCTTCTGGCTGAGTTTCAAATCCTTCCTTACCACTGAATTTATTTTTTAGAAGGTTCTGATGGGTTTCTCTGTTATGAAGGCATGCTATAACTGCTGCAACATTTTCATTGAAATAATGCTTGTGTGGAGAGATTGTTGTCCTATTTCTTCAGCAATAGGCCTTTGTAAGGTCCAATCCATAATCTATCCATAGATTTTCCATCAGTTACTTTGAGGTTAAAATAACTGTGGGGAATTACATGACCAACTGCGATTAACTTTTAATGGAAGACAAGACTTATATATTGTTTTAAAACTCTAGTTCTTTATTACCATGTTTAGGAAACGGCCAACTCCAATTGCAATCTTCTGATATGATTTCTAGATATGAGCTAGATCTATAAGCATGCACAAATATAAAATATATAAATATTCATATACACACCATTGATTTTGAGTAACAATTAAGAACAGAAGTATGACACGGATGTCTATAGAAAATGGGAGGGTAACTAAAGAGGAAATATATTGTTAGGAAAAGATTACATACTCTGTTTTCTTCTTCTGCAGAGTGCCCTTTCCTGCCAACATTGCATAAAAGAGAATACTGATGTTTTGCTGTATGCATCTGTAATATAATGTAGTTTGCCCATGCTATTTAACTAATTAAATTAGGCTTTGGTTAAATCTTGAAAATAATGTCACTGTTTAGTTAGTTACAGAAAATTTAGTCTTTTGGGGTTGAAAATTACATTCGGTGTTTGTTGTGCACCAAAAGCTACACTTAATAAGTAGATTTAGCTAGCATCAAGAAGATGAGATATCTGATAACATGTAATAAATTAGTGATTCAACAAAATAAATGTAGAACAAGACACGAAAGTACTCTCATATACAGTTTTGCTGCATTACACACATGCATCTTTAGAAACGAAACTAACATTTTAAATTGACTCAAAGTGGTTTCTGGGTTATTTGCTGCTGAATTTCAATGGCAAACAAATGGGCTCTGGAACTGAACCAAAACTTCAAAGAAGAACACATCTAGTCCACTGACCATGGGTTGCTTGAATTATATGAGCTTAATGCAACCTATTATAAATACATATTACCATAGACCAGTGATGGCGAACCTTTTAGAGACTGAGTGCCCAAAAATTGGCCCTGCTAAATCTCCTGGACCACTTAGCAGCTTTTTATGCCACTAGGTTTTATAACCTTTTGATTGTCTTGCAGGATTGGAACTTATGAGACCAGATTACAGTGGTTCTTATTCTTCTTTTGGACCTGTAGTTAAAAGGTAGTACTAGGAATTACAGTTTGACATCTGTACCATTAACCTTCAGTGTCTGCAAGCAGTGTTTCATCTTGTCACCTATGCTGTTTATAGCTAGATGAAACCATCTGGANAGCACAATTTGTAATTAACCTCTGTGGTCATAAATGGCTTGGGGATATGATGTCTGTTGGACTGGTTTGCTCTTTTCAAACTTGTGTGGGCAATAAGAACGGCTAGAGAGGTGCTTCTGAACATCATCCTTCCTATAGTTGAATCAACAGAATTTTAGCATAGCTTATAACAAAAACAGTAGACCTTGCTTACCAACAGTCCCAGATGTAGAATGCTTAAATACACTTTGAAGCTCAACATCAACAGGACATAACTTATACAAAGGCACATATGTAACAAGTGAACCAAACCAACTTTGTACATCTAGACATTGCTTGTATACTGTCTGAAAAGCATTGACAGTATGTGTGAAATACAGGAATACATATAGACCCTTTTTCATTACCTAGTTGAAAATTGCGAGAGCATAGCATTCATCCATCACATGAACTTTAGGTACAAAACAGCCATGTTTTGTTCTGAGTCAGAAAGAAAATTTTCAAATATATGCATATTTTGTTTTGTGCTTAGAACACACAAATGGCTATTTCAGTGACCAAACTTGAGGATAAAATAAGTTATGAGAATGCTTGCTATCAATTATGTTTTTCCCCTCTTGATGCTCCCTATTATACATCAGCTTTATTTTTTTTTTGAGCCAAAAAGCAGACTTTGAAGTAAAGCCTGGTACTAGATCAATTAATCGTTTTCATTTTCTAAGTGTTACTGTAGGGCCCACAGGGGCACTAAAAAGACATTTTGTAAATGAAAGCGATGGTGGCTTTTTGTTGTATAATATATTAGCTTTACATCCATTTTAATACAAATTTAGAAATAATATTGAAACATATTATTACAGAGAAATAATATTGACAAATAAAGAGAAACCAAGAAGCTATATTTCTAGGAAGGTGAGTATTCATTGGCTGCTAGCAAGACAAGTATTCACAGACTGATCAGTTCTCATGTTAGGAACTCCAGCTAAAAAATAATAAAATATCACTACTAAATTCTACCAATGTAGAGCCTGTAAATTCATGTTTGAACAGTAGCATTTAATCACAATATCCATTTGACTCTAAAAAAAGCTGGATTAAATATATATATTATAGTTTCTGAGGTTTTTCTAAATATATTCCTTCCAAGGAGATCTTAAATTATGTTCTTCCTATCTGAAAGTTGTGCTAATTCATCTGATGCAAACATTTGATCTCTCTGACCCTGTTTTTAAAACCACATATTAAAAAGAAAATTAAGAAATATGAAGACTGTTGAGCTTTTTTTTCTTACTCTAATAAACAGGCCAAAAATTGACCTTTATAGAAATGGCTCATGTTCTAAAAAAATTAATTTTCAGTGGGCCATTGGTGTGCAGAGAAATTACTGCATAATTTAAATATTGTATACTGCTTTCATATAACACTATAATACAGTATTCTCTGGATGAATATTCATGGTTAAATTACTGAGCTTAGAAAGGTTTACTTTAAGCTACATGTATCTAGGACTGCTTGTTTGATTTTTCTAATATATAAGTCTCCTTCTGTTCTCTAAAGTTAATCGTTATTGCCTTCTGTGAATAAATATTTCAAAATATGATCATCCTAATCAAATAGAATTCAATTTACTTTAATTAAAACTTGTTCTCCAGTTGGTGTTTACCTTTGGTTAACCAAGGGCTTAAAGATGTTTTAGTTTTGTTACGTGTGTGCACAATGCACAAATGTACATACAATTAATTGAAGCACAAGTGGTAATATATATTTTAAATAATTTACAAATAAATTCTCTGCTCATAGCCTTTCATTTCCAGCAGTATTATGGACAGCAAGTACCCCACTGGTCAAATGATTTCATTATGATTAGAAATCTACATTTTCTATCATTAGTAATTTATCAACTATTCTATAAATTAATCAGTTCATGTTTAGTCTTCTTTTTACAAACAAGATTATTTTTGAATGATTAAGTAATTTTTAAAAAATTGCTGCAAAACGCATGTCAGTCAAGAGTATAATTATCTGAAAGTAGGTCATGTGGGTTTTCCTTAATTTCCTATAAAACAACTAGACACATCTATTGGCAACCATGCTTGGAAATATATTTTTAATCACTGAAGCGAACATTTATAAACTTCTGTCAATTGCTTTTTGAGTGCTTTAAAATGTATTCAATTCAAAGCATTTTGATGAAATCTCCTGGGAGTATGTACAACTACATAGCATTTTTGGACTAACTAAATATCTTTGCTGTAGTTTACTATTTTTGAATCATAGATACTGTTTTTGAATAATAGATCATCCTAGAAATCTATACTAAGGTCCCTTCTATTCAAGAACATATTAGCTATTGTTTGTATTTCACATTGTTCCCTATTTCTCTCTCTCTCTCTCTTCTCTCTCTCTCTCCTGTTACTAGTAGGTATCTGGTATAACTCCACTCACACTTTTAATTCCCAACTCACACTATTTAGTGGTATGCAAGGTATTTCTTGATTGTGCACCTAGTGTCGCCAGATGACATTTCATGTATTTGTCCTGTAATTCAAAGAAAAAAACCCTCCAAATGCTGGTCATGTGTCCCTGTTATGGAACAGTTGGCAGATATGGCTATGGCAGAAGCATTGTGCTCAGTCTCTTCCCCCTTCTGAACTCTTAATGGTGAACCTTTGTAGTCTGTAATATATTTTTCTCCTGCCTCCTTACTCCCATTGCACAGTGTTTTCCAAACCCTTCCCAATTCTGTCTCTCCTTTCATCCATTTTCTAACATTTCATCAGAAAAAGAGTTTTTAAAAAGGTGAACTGCATGCATCTCTTCGGCTTCTATATTATTTATAAAGAGAATGGGATAATCAGTGCATGTCATGTCAATTGCTGATACGTACACTCTTACTGTTTTAT